CCCTACACTTATTTTCTTTAAACGATTGAAGAGAGCTTGAATGATTTGTCAGGTTTTCACCTTACTAGACTGGTTCTTCTTGGCTTTCACAAGAAAATAATCTACTTAAAATACCTTTGGTAGTTAAGCTTTGTTACATAGCTATTTCCTCCTGCCTCAGATCTTTTCTTCAAAACATATTTTTTTTAATGTCTTTTAAAAAAAATTTATTTTATTTTTGGCTGTATTGGGTCTTAGTTGCAGTGCACGGGCTTCTCATTGCGGTGGCTTCTCTTGTTGCAGAGCATGGGCTCTAGGCGTGTGGGCTTCAGTAGTTGTGGCATGTGGGCTCAGTAGTTGTGGCACACGGGCTCAGTAGTTGTGGCTTGCGGGCTCTAGAGCTTAGGCTCAGTAGTTGTGACACACGGGCTTAGTTGCTCTACGGCATGGGGGATCTTCCTGGACAAGGGCTCGAACCTGAGTCCCCTGCGTTGGCAGGTGGATTCTTAACCACTGTGCCACCAGGGAAGTCCAAAATATTATTTCTTGATGAAATGATTCTTCACAAAATCATTCTATTAGGTTGGCCAAAAAGTGCCTTCGGTTTTCAAGTAAAAATAAAAGACACATTTTTCATTTTCACCAAGAACTTTATTGAACAAGGTATTCATCCTTTTGTTCCACTACCTTCTGCCATTTTCAGGCAACTTCATAATTCCATCTTCCCAAAACTTTTTATCTTTTTGAGCAAAGAACTATTCCAGGTGCCTTTTACAGTCTTCCAGGAATGGAAATTTTTTCCATTGAGAGAATTTTGTAAAGACTGAAATAGATGGAAATCCACAGGTTAAATGTCTGGTGAGTACAGCAGGTGAATCAGAACTTCTCAGCCAAGCTGTTATAGTTTTTGCCTGGTCATCAAAGAGACATGCAGTTTTGTGTTATTCTGATGGAAGATTATGCATTTTCTTTTGACTAATTCTGGATGCTTTTCGAGTGCTGCTTTCAGTGGTCTAATTGGGAGCAGTACTTGTTGGAATTAATCATTTGGTTTGCCAGAAGGAGCTCATCATAGAGGACTCCCTTCCAATCCCACCATTTACACATCACTTTTGGATGAAGACCGGGGTTTGGTGTGGTTGCCGGTGGTTCGTTTCCCCCACGATCTCTTCCGTTCCGTATTATTGTACAGTATCCACTTTTCATCACTTGTCACAACTTGTTTTAAAAATGCAATGTTTTCATTACATTTCTGTAGAGAATTGCATGCGGAAATAGGGTCTAGAAGGTTTTTTTTCACTTAACGTGGAACCCAAACGTCAAAGCGATAAACATAAGTAAGCTGGTGCAAATGATTTTCAACACTTGATTTGGATATTTTGAGTATGTCAGCTATCTCTCGCGTCGTATAACATTCATTGTTTTCAATTAATGTCTCGATTTGATTGCTGTCACCTTCAACTGGTCTTGGTCTACTCGACCATGGAGCATCGTCCAGTGAGAAATCTCCAGCATGAAACTTCACAAAACACTTTTGACACATTCGATCAGTCACAGCACCTTCTCCATACACTGTGCAAATGTTTTTTTGCGTTTCAGTTGCGTTTTTACCTTTCTTGAAATAATAAAGCCTAATATGCTGAAAATACTGCTTTTTTTCTTCCATCTTTTTGTGTGTGTGTGTGTGGTTTGAAGGGACTTTTATTTATTTTTATTTTTTTACTTTTATTTTTTTTACATCTTTATTAGAGTATAATTGCTTTACAATGGTGTTAGTTTCTGCTTTATAACAATTCTTCCATCTTCAATATAAAAATGGCTACACAAAAATTCACCAATTTTGATGTCTTTTTTTAAATGCACGGTAATATGACAGCTTGCATACAATCTAACAAAATTATTTCAAATGATGTTAAAGACAACTAAGTGCTACTAGAGCCATCTTATGGAAAAAACCAAACAAACCTTTTGGCCAGCCCAATATTAATCTTTTAAGTATTTCCATTAGTCTTTTAAATGGGTTGTGGATTATCCACTTTACATGAGTAAATAGATTTGAGTAAAAACGCATTTTAAAAGCCAATGTAATATACACCAATATGTATAAAATAGATAACCAATAAGAACCTGCTGTGTAAAAAATAAAATTTTTTAAAAAGCCAATGTAAATGACTATGGCCAGTTTTTGTTTAAAAGACAATATAAATGCATGGTAATGGTTGGGATATGATACATTCCAGTGTGCCTATTCATTTTAAAATGTATGGCTATGGAAAAAGCCTGCCTTACTGTCTCTCATCAATCACAGCCCCTGCCATCTGAAGACCTTAAAATATAGTGATCTTAATGCTCAAATGTGCATGGTAGATATTTTGATATTTGGCTTAAGGAATACCAAAATATCAGCATTTTGATAGATTCACTAAAAAGTAAAAATAAATATTAAAACAAATCCATAAAATAAGTTTAGTATAGGCTTTAGGGCTTCAACCTGTATTGTTAAGGAGCTAACCTCTTGGTGAAGAGAGCTTTTTGACTTCCTGGGACATTTGGCCAGGTGGGGATGGGAGAGAGGAGGTTGCCTTTTTGTTTATTCCAAGGTTAGGGTATCCAGTGGAAAGGTGTTTCTTTCTAGTTTTCCTGGACTACTTAGTGCCTTTCCTCATGCTCTGTACCTCCCCCGTCCTCTACATTGTACGTTAGTCAATGTTGGATTGTAATTGAGTTCACCATGATAGGAGGGACATAAGTCACGTTACCCAGAAATAAAAATTTTGCATTTGGCCAGACCTCACATAATATCTTGGGAACTTGCGGCTAGGGTATAGAAGAAAAATCAAGGGCCATAGGCAGATGTTAATATCATAAAAAGAATGACAGCCAGATGTTATGTGCCTCTTGAAGGAAGACTAATACTACCTATCAAGTATCTCCTTGCTAAAACAAAAAACATTGATAGGCAAAGCCTCTAGATCAGGGTCTCTCAACACTGACACTTGAGGTTTTGGATCAGATAATTCTTTATTGTGGGGAGCTGTCCTAGATATTGTAGGATGGTTAGCAGCATCCTTGGTATACAACTACTAGATGCCAGTAGTGCCTCTCTACTTGTGACAACCAAAACTGTTTTCAGATGTTACCAGATGCCTCTCGGGTAGCAAAATCACTCTTGGTTAGGAGCTTTTTGCTGCTAGATCTAACTACCAGTTTATGGAAATAGGGGACAGATTAACCTGTTAAACATTATTCCAGGGATTGATCACATCTGCAAAATCCAGAATGTGGAACACTGGACAACCTAGTTTCTTCAATAAATAAATTGTAAGGATAATAAAGAAGGGGAACTCTAAGATTAAGAGACTTAAGGAAATGTCAGTGTCAACCAAATGCAATGTATGAACCATGTTTGGGGCCTGATCAAAACAAACCCATGTAAGAAAACACTTCCAACAGCTAGGGAACTTTCAACACCATCTTGATATTTAATTTTTCAGAATTAATTCAGGAGGATATCGTTTAGAGGTAGATACTGAACTATTTATGAAGTCAGAGTTCTGGGTTTTGCATCAAAATAATCTGTGAGCCTGTGTGTGGTACGTGTCGGGTGGGGGAGATAGATGGATGAGATGATGGATGAAATGAGATTGGCCATGAGTTAATGACCTTTGAAAGTGGATAATGAGGTTCATCATCTTCTCTACCTTTTGCATTTGACATTTTTTATAATTAAAAAAGGAAGGTAATAATTAGGAAGAATCACCGTTCTACCATTTGAATGGACGAGTTCAAAAGGAATTAATTCCTAGAAGATCTCTGGGTATAGGGTGAACTATTCAAATAGTTTCCTAATGAGAGTAAAATACACAGTATAAGCTGATCAAGTCTGTATTTAAAAAGTGCTACTAGCTGACTTTTATTGATAGTACTTATCATATTTATCACTTAAATCTCAAATGTTTTATAAACATGTTAATACTTTGAGAGGCACTTTAACCCTAACAAGCCTGTATATCCAGCCCCTTGTCAAAGAATTATAAACATTTTAATTTGACAACACATGAAGTAGATGGGGCAAAAAGGGACCATGTTAGGGCTTATTTTTTCATTTTTTTTAAAAAACAGAACTTTTTTGTTTTTAGTTTTTTGGCTGTGTTGGGTCTTCTTTGCTGTGCGCGGGCTTTCTCTAGTTGTGGCGAGCGGGGGCTACTCTTCGTTGCGGTGTGCAGGCTTCTCATCGCGGTGGGTTCTCTTGTTGCGGAGCATGGGCTCTAGGTGCGTGGGCTCAGTAGTTGCGGCTCGCGGGCTCTAGAGAACAGGCTCAGTAGTTGTGGCACACGGGCTTAGTTGCTCCGTGGCATGTGGGATCTTCCCGGACCAGGTCTCGAACCTGTGTACCCTGCATTGGCAGGCAGATTCTTAACCACTGTGCCACCAGGGAAGCCCTAGGGCTTGTTTCAAAGTGCCTTATTCAGAGGGCTGAGACAAATCCCACACCATACCAAATGTTCATTTTAACCAGAGTACTTAAGAAAGAGAAAGAAAAAAGGAATACAACTTAGCTGAAGTATTCATTTTTATAAAAATGTGTTTTATTTTAAAACAAGTCTATAAAAGTAGAAATCCCATACAAAAATACAGATTACTCTGACATGTTAGCAAAGTAGCTTACGGCTGGACTTGAGTTTGGACGTACTGTATGTTTGAGGGCATCCGGAAGTCAGAGGCCAACCGGATCCTACCTCCAGCCCCTTGTCACTAATCTGTAAACAATAATTTCAAGTAGTATTTAGCACTTTTTAACTACTATGGAATTGAAACCTAATCATTTCCCGTATAACACTACTTTAAAATGTTCTTCCTTAGGTCTGAGCAGATAAGGGCACTTCATACCATTGTTTCTAACATTTGAAAAATCTGATTTAGAAAAAGCAATGTTAATAGAAATGATGAGTTTGGGCTTTTTGTTCCATTTTGAACATACAGGGAGGTCATCGATTTAAATAAGAAATTAGTGTTTTGTGTTTTTTAAAGTAAGATTTAATCCTTTTGCTTCCATGTATCATTAAAAAAAAATCACCGATGCCATCGAAAGGTTCAACACCTGAGCCTTAACTTTTATGCAGGTGCCAGCTGTGCTAACTGCTCTGAAACTGCGTGGAACATACACGTGATTCTGCTGTGTATTTCTGATTGAAAGGAACATGCGCTTCTTCTTAGGGAACTCTAGGTCCAGTAACCTTATAAAATGGGTTGTTTCAATCATTGTGGGAGGCCATTTAAAAAAAAAAAAAGGATAATTTAAAATACTTGATTCCAGAGTAATATAAAAATAACTTCAAGAACCTCAGTGATAAAGGAAAACAACAGGTAACCTCAGTTCAGCATTCCAACCATTTTAAGAATTAGAGACTGACTGGTTCCTACCACCTTTCTAAAACAAAGCAAGTCACTTTAAAAGCTAAAGAACCTATGTTAACATAATTTGATCATAAAGTCAGAAGTCCACAATTAAATTTCCTCAGCTAATTTAGAATGCTGGGAACACAGTACATAAAGGAGACTTCATTAATGTGCATTAGAGGATCCCCCAGGTTAACCTGTCATAGAAAATTGCCTCTTGAGCCTGTAAATTCTAACCAATTCTATACCTCTGGTTGGCCGGTTGTTTTTTTATTTGGGTTTTAAGGTGAGTGACCCGGGGCTATTTGTTTCCATATACCTAATTGCAAATCTAAAGGCAAAGTTGAAATGTGTATTTTTCTTTCTATCCTCAGCAGACTGCCGCAAATCTATGATTCTCATTCTGTTCAGCTTACAATACAAATAGCTTATTACTTTTTGCAACCTACGTCTTATAAAGCAGTACTGAGAAATTAAGTAGAAGAAAGTTCAGTTGCCATATAGGCTATGAAAATGATTTGCTGGTGGTGATTTTTAAGCTTGATTCTAAATAGATTTAATAAGAAGGGCACTTGGAAGAGGTGGCTCAAATTTTGCTCTTTAAGGTATCTTGAAATTATAGGCTCACTCTCCTAAAATTTCAAAAGGCATACAGCTTAGGCTCTTAAGGATATAGCAGTGATAAAAGCTTTCCTAGTCATTTTTCAAAAGCAACACTTCATAGTTTTCTCTCCAACGGTTCTCTAATATACTTGTAGAATGAAGGCAAGAGAAAACCAAGAATAAAAATAGCTGAGCTCTCCACAATTGGGCTTCCTGCCTACTTTCCCTGTTCAAAGAAAAGAGGAGACACCATCCTGCAATAGATACTTCATAGACAACTGGGTTTCTGCAGTGTCAGTCGGCATCTGATGCCCCATATCTCCTGGTTCTTTTTGTTGCCAGTGGTTGGCCTGGCGATGGTGGTGAAAGGGGAACAATTAATTTGTAGATGAGGAAGGGCTTCCTTTAATAGTTGAAGGGTACTGTCTGGCACGATTCCAAAGACTTGTAGTGTTTTTAGTGTGGGAATTTCTCCGAGTTCACTGGAAAGGAAGAGAGAGACTTTCAGAGTAGCAGTATCTATGGTAACTGTTCCCCTAGAGTAACATGACCCAATTTTTACAATTTGTATTATATTTTATAAAATGCAAACTGAAGACATAATTTGCAATCAGTGATTTGAGAAAATTGTAAAGGTAAATCAAACCACAAAGCACAGTCCATAGCTTGGGCAACACAGCATAAGGAAACACACAAGTGCATTTTGTTGAATTTCTAATAACTGGAAAACTCCAAGGTTTATTTAAAGTCCAACCATATTTTCTTCCTTTCCCCATTCTTGGTTTAGACTGTAAAGTGTCACTGTGCTGTGAGGAGAAGCCAGCAAGCTAGTGGTGGTAAAAGTAAATGTTTTACTGTGGCATCAGATGGAGTCACCGAAGGCTACATGCAACTTAAGGATATGGACTTGACCTTTATTTGAACTAGGCTCGCCCTCTCAAAAGGAGATGTGAGCAGAGCCGATAACTTCTAAATAATGGTTAATACTCAACAAGTCCATTACATGTGATGAAACCTAACAGTGACTTCACGACGATATTTTAAGGTTATGTGTTGGGTGCAGATAGAGACAATAGACATCTTACTTCTCTACATATTACCATTTTTTTTCCTGTCACATGTATCGCAGTCCTCTTCCTAGGTATTTCACATTAAGTGAAACACAACTCTGTCAAGAGTGAAATTCTGTTCCACTAAAAAGGGAGCCTGTTTTCCCAAAGTAAATACTCTTTGGTAATGATTCTTTTTTTTTAACCCAGGTCTGTGTGCTTAGAAATTCATCTCTCTGATCTGTATGTGCTCCAGGTTGGGACACACAGTACAAAGTCTCAGGAAAGGGAATATTTAGTTTGGAGTTTCAACAAAATCCCACTGCAGATCGATGAGCACATCAATAACCTAGAATTAGAAGCATCCTTTATATTTTCATATTGCCAATAATTACTTAAAAAAATAAACCTTCCTGATAATAATTGTCACCTTGCCTCCAATCTTTCTTCCTTTCAGTTTAGTGTATATACCAATGACCAAGGCATCTTCGTAAAGCCTAACTCAGACTATGTCCTTCCCATCCTCAAAAATCTGTGATACCTCCCTCATGTGTTTTTTTTTTTTTTTTTGGTATGCGGGCCTCTCACTGTTGTGGCCTCTCCCGTTGCGGAGCACAGGCTCCGGACGCGCAGGCTCAGCGGCCATGGCTCACGGGCCCAGCCGCTCCGCGGCATGTGGGATCTTCCTGGACCGGGGCACGAACCCGTGTCCCCTGCATCGGCAGGCGGACTCTCAACCACTGCACCACCAGGGAAGCCCCACCTCCCTCATGTTTACAGAACTCAAAACACTCTGTTGGCCTTAGGCTCTTCATTGCTAAACCTGCTCTCCCACTCTTCCCACTCCCCCTCTAAGCGTATTTATTCTACATTCAAGAAAGTGTTTTAAACCCCATAGGTGTTTACATACATTAGCTGAAAACATGAGGAAGGGTAATTTAGAAAATAAAAGTACTATCCAAGTAAAATAAATATGCTTGGTGTTCCTAAGGGGGCGGTAAGATCCAGAGGTCACAACAGACCGAAAAGAAAGTCAGCAAGAACAAACTGTTGTTGTTCATAAAGTAAGCTAATCTCTGGAACAGAAACAGGAGTGCACGGGGCTTCCCTGGCGGCACAGTGGCTGGGATTCCGCCTGCCAAGGCAGGGGATACGGGTTCGAGCCCTGGTCAGGGAAGATCCCACATGCCGCGGAGCAACTAAGTTGGTGCACCACAACTACTGAGCCTGTGCTCTAGAGCCCACAAGCCACAACTACTGAAGTCTGTGTGCCTAGAGCCCGTGCTCTGCAACAAGAGAAGCCACCGCAATGAGAAGCCCGTGCACCGCAACGAAGAGTAGCCCCCGCTCGCCGCAACTAGAGAAAAACCCACGTGCAGCAATGAAGACCCAACGCAGCCAAAAATAAAATAAATAAACTTATTCAAAAAAAAAAAGAAACAGGAGTGTAAAGAAAGGTCAGTATATGTAGGTGTTTATACTTATTATCACTGAAGATGATAGCAATCCTGTCCCAAACTTAAATCTCTCTTATGTGAAATCTGAGTATGAGAACTTTGTCATAGCCAGGAGAATTCGGTTTCTGCGATCTCCAGATTAGCCAAATTGTAAGACATTCTGCAGTGGATAGTATTTAAAAGAAGAAACTACAGGTGGGAGTGACGAGGGATGGCAGATGATAGAAGAGGAAATGTTCTTGCAACAGCACTTCAAAAGAGCTTGGTGAGGAAGGAAATTACACCAGACACTTAGAAGACACTCAGGTGTTTACATGTGAGTAAGAAGTGAGCAGTATAAGATGGGATGGTGGACGAATGATCATTCCCAAGTCAAAAAACCAGAAAGTCTCTAAAATTTTAAGGAGAACAAAAAACCAAACAACAAGAACAACAAGCCTCTTGTACGTGCATCACCTACAACACAGCAGAACACATATGCAAGTATCTCTTTGAAACTACAAGGTAAGAGACTGAAAAGCCAAAGAAGGGAGAGTAAATAGGTATGAATAGTTTAAGAGCCATGATTTCTAACTTAAGAAGTATAAAATGACACTGATGTCTTAAAGTGTCTCTAGTTAGTAAACAAAAGGTATTTATAAACCCTTTCACAGGTTCACTGCTTACCTCATCTACATAATCCCATTTTCCTTATAAATCTTAAATTCCTCAACTACAAATTCTCCTACAGGAGTGATTATTTAGTCTCTCCTAATCTCAGATCACTTTACTATCTCCAGCTTAGATTTCCTACTTGAATGAGAAATACAGAATAATTAGAAGGACTTTTGGATATAAGGAAATCAGATCAATTAAGGAGTAAGGGAATAAATACAGTGAGGGTATATGTCCTGCAGACAAAAAACCTACAGTTTCCCAAGTATTTTAAAGCGTTATCATTACAGAAGAAACACAGTCAAATTTTATTTTCCCACTTCTGAGATAAGAAATGAAAATTCTTTAGCACAGATGACTTTCTGAAAATTATTGTTGAGGATCCTAGAATTCTTACTATGCATTTCACAGACATCAGCCACCAGAATGACTGAAATTGGAGGGCAAGACATTTTATCTGGAGAAACTTTTAAGGATAGGGTACTAGCAAACTCATCTTAATGGATTCACAAGGCAAACCAGTATACTATCTACGTAATGTCTTAAGAAACATACTCTTTTACCTTAAAGTTCAAGGACAGCATCTTTCTTCTGTCTGTTCTCACTCTATTCTGGTGGTCTGGCTTGCCACTAAACTCCTGATGCCCCTGTTTCCCTTATTTCGAGACAATATCTAGACAAATCAGTTACAACAATGCTGTGAGGGTTCACACCTAGGTCTGTGGCTTCAGGCCCACGCTCTGAACCATCGATTCACACTGCTGCAGGTATTACTATGAAAGCATTATCATCCCACTGGATAAAAATATGTGAAGGCTCACAGCCTCCCCTTAGCCTCTGCTCAAGAGAAAGCATTTGGGTATTCTCTGCTTAGCTTCTTTCTCTCTGGAGAGAAAGAACAAAAGTAAGACACGTGGATAGATTCTCTTGAGAAAAGCAACCAAAAAAGAATGATCACTGCTCTCCGGGGCGCTGCACAGGCAATGAAGCTGAAGCCTAGATGGCAAGGACGGGAAAGAATGGTTGACAGAGCAGCCTTTTTGGGTGGACATTGCAGGCTCCTAGGAGTTCCGGATGCTAGAAAATTCAAGTGGCAGGAGATTTTAATAAGAGTTCCATGCATATGAATTGAGACCCCAACATCTGAGAGCCCTGAAACTAAATACTAGCCTTCCTTTTAGGCAGTGCTTTCCCAAATGAGATACCCGCTCAGACCCTGAGCCCCAAGATTAATTACAGTGATTTATTAAAAAACGTAATTACCAGATTCCCTAATTCTACTAGTTAACTCTATGTAGCTGAAGTATCTGATTTATTCATTAATTCCTTTTTTTAGAAAAATTATTTTTTAAAAATTGTAGTTGATTTACAATGTTGTATTAGTATAGAGCAAAGTGACTCAGTTATATATATGTATACATATATTCTTTTTCAGATTCTTTTCCATTATAGGTTATTACAAGATATTGAATATAGTTCCCTGTGCTATATTCCAAGATACTGAATATAGGTCCTTGTTGTTTAATCTATTTTATATATAGTGGTGTGTATCTGTTGATCCCAAACTCCTAATTTATCTCTCCCCACTGCTGCCTTTTCCCCTTTGATAACCATAAATTTGTTTTCAATGTCTGTGAGTGTAGATAAGTTCACTTGTATCATTTTTTTAGATTCCACTTATAAGTGATATCACATGATATTTTCCTTTTTCTGTCTGATTTACTTTACTTAGTATGATAATCTTTAGGTCTATCCATGTTGCTGCAAATGGCACTGTTTCATTCATTTTTACGGCTGAGTAATATTCCATTGTATGTATATGTGTATGTGTGTATATATGTATATATATCATATATATATATGTGTGTGTGTGTATATATATATATATATATATATATATATATATATATATATCTCACATCTTCTTTATCCATTCATCTGCTGATGGACATTTAAGCTGCTTCCGTGTCTTGGCTACTGTAAACAGTGCTGCTATATTCATTAATTCTTGAAACTAACTTACAAGATCCAAACCAGTAATTTGAGGACTACATAAATTCTGTGTTCAAATTCACCACCTTTCTTTGGTAGGAACCAGAAGCTTGATTACCCTTATATGGATAGTGAGTTTAAATGAGGTCAGCAGCCTAATTCAGGGCATACTGGTTGGAGTGCGAAAGAAGGGCACCAGGCCAAATCCAAGATACTGACTTCTTGAGGTTTTTAATAAAACTGCTATACACTTATATTTGAACCAGGGAAGAATTTTCCAGCCCTTTGAAATATAGGAAAACTTCTTAAAACTACAGAGATGATGTTATTTCCAGGATGACTTGGGTATAGCACTTCTTAAGAGGAAGATGGACCCGATTCTGTTTTTGTTGGCACTGCCTTGATTTTGTGGAAGTTGCTGAGCAGGTACAAAATTAATCCCTGTAACAGCTACCAGATTAGATACAGACTACTTTGCACGTGTCCAGGAGACCTGGAATGCAGACCCAGCTCAACCAGTAACTCACTATTCAGCTTTGGGTAAGTTACTTTACTCTTCTGGATCTCAATCTCCCCCCTTTTCAAAAGAGAGTATCAATCACTCTTACAATACTTACTACTTAAATTGTTTATTTTTTCCATTCCTTGACCATCCAGGACAGATGCCACTAGAAGATTACAGAATTTTTCCTCTAAGCTCAGATGAAGGTTTTTGGAATCAACTCAAGTAGACTTGAAAAGTTTCGGAAACACACACACACACACGCACACACGCACACATGCACACACGCACACACACTGGGTCTGCCTACCCCGTCATATAATCTGAGCTTCCTGGGAGTAAAGGCTATCTTCTCCCGCTTTTGTAAGTTCTCCACAAGTAGTAGTATAGTATTCTAATATTTAAACTCGCTCACAGCTAAATAAATGTTTAGTAAACTATCTCAATCCACTCAAATTTACTAGACATTTTAAGCAAAAAATTTTGCCTTGGTTTTTCTATTTTGCTCGTCTTTCCTAACCAGTGTGTGGTACACTAATTTGATGTTTAAGTAAGTTTTAAACATCTGCTGTTAATAATGGATTTTACCACCAAGTGACATCTCTTTTGGTCCCTGCCCTCTGCTTGCTTTAGAAAACAAAACTACTTACAGTAAAGTTTCAGGTATTATGTCATAGCACCGACTGAGTGATAGGTGTTGGAGGTAGTTGAGCTGGAAAAATTCCGGAAAGCAGTCACTTTTCAGCATGACACTATCGCTGTAACAGAAGGAAAAATTCAAAATCTAGCCATCAATCCCAGATGGAGAAGACAGGAATAGTCTATCGCTTAGTTCCTTCAATTCAACATATTAAGATCCTTTCTTCATTCAGTGAGCAATCATGAATTTTCATTTTTTAAAAAAAAATTTGTCTTAAATAAAAACATACCTTAAGTCTAGGTGGACAAGACTGGGACATCTTCCAACTAAAGTAGAGACATCTAGAAAAAAAATGATGGTCACTATCAAATGAGGAATCAGACAAGGATCCCTGCTGTCAATACTTCATTTCACACTGTGCTGGAAATTCAGAATGGTGCAATTAGAGTCACTCACTATTAGAGACAAAAAACAAAATTATCATCTTGGCATATAAGACTTTCTACCTGGAAAATCCAAGAGAATCATCTGAAAAACTACTGGAAATACACAGTAAGAGAACTAACTGTGTAAAATGACTGGAAAACAAACTCCTTAGCTTATCTATGTGCCAGCAATAGCTGGCTGGAAATAGGGAAAAACAAGTCCTATTCACAACAGCAAGAAGCAAAACCAAACAGCACACTATATATAAACAAACAACATATCATAAAGGAAGCACTCAAAATCAGTGGGGGAGATCATGGATTATTAAAAAATAATATGGCTACAACAACTGGAAAAAATTTACTTCTCCAGCTCAAAGAAAATATCCAAATAAATTCTACATGTTAAAAACTTCCAAATGCAAAAATGAATAATTATTCATTGCATCTTGGGATAGGTAAGGAGTTTCTAAACATAAAGTAAAACATAAAGGGAACACTGATAATTTACTACAAAAATTTTTTTTTAATTTTTATTTATTTTGGTTGTGCTGGGTCTTCATTGAGGCACGTGGGCTCCTCTAGTTGCGGCGTGCAGGCTCTATAGCATGCAGGCTCAGTGGTTGCAGCGCGCGGGCTTAGCTGCAGCGTGTGGGATCTTGGTTCCCTGACCAGGGATCGAACCTGGCCCCCTGCATTGGAAGCGCAGAGTCTTAACCACTGGACCACGAGGGAAGTCCCCTGCTACATACATTTTTAAAAACTCTACCATGTTAAAGCAAAACAGAACAAAAGCAGAATTAAAGATGTTAAAGCAAAACAGAACACAAGCAGAATTAAAGAGGTATCAGAAAACTGAGAATAAATGTTTCCAACAGAGTTAATTGTCTTATTATATAAAGAGTATTAAAAAAAACAGGCAAAGAACATAAACAGATACTTTCCAAAATATAGACATAATAAAAATGGAGCAAGAAATGCAAAATAAAATTATTGCTTTTCTGCCATCAAATGAAAAACAAATCCTATTATAATGCCCAGAATTGATGAACTATCATAAAGCAGGTCCCCCCATACACTAAAATTGGATATTTAATTTTATGTAGCCTTTCAGAAGACCTGATTTTTTTTTTTTGAGTGAACTGATCTTTTTTAAAAAAAAGTGTTCAGGGTATTACACATTTAGCTCTTTGGCTCAGTAATTCCACTTTTAGAAAAATAATTAGAGATATGCATTAAGATAGTCATTGTAGTGACAGCTATAAAAGCCCCTCCCCTGATTACTTTAATAGGTTAACCTTCATCCAATCTATGGAACACAATGCTAATAGCAGCTATTAAAAAGCTTTTTAATAACATTTTGTGACATGAAAAAATACGCAGGATATGTTGTATAGTGAAAACAAAACAAAATATATAAAATGCATTATAATCTCAATTTAGTTAAAACACACAAACTCATATTTACACACAGACACACACAGAAAGAAAGGGGGTTGGAAGGCTGGAAGAAAATAATCCAAATGTTAACTACAGTCACCAATGATGGTAAGATCAGAGGTAACTTTTCAGAATTTGGAAGAAAGTCACATGCAGTACTTTGTAATCAGAAAATGAATCAGTGTTATTTGCTTTGAAAAATAGACAAATTTTATTAATGTTTGAGGGTTTTTTTTTTTTCCCTTCTCACAGCCACGTCTTCAGTCCCATCCCCTCTCCTGAATCCTAGATTTGCATTTTCAACACAGCCAACACGCCCACTGGGCTATGTGATAAGCATCTCAAATTTATGCCTAAAACCAAACGCTTGATTTCTCCTCTCAATCCGCTCCTTCCCTAAAGTCTTCCCCATCTTAGTAAGTGGGAACTTCACCAATCCAGTTGCTGTAGCCAAAACCCTGGGAGTCGTACTTTTTCCTCATATCCCATATGCAATCTGTTACCAAATCCTGTTAGGTCGGCTTTCAAACTGTGTCTGAAATTGGATCACTTCTTACTTCCTCAAATGTTACCACCCTAGTCTCCAGCAGCCTTTTCCCAGCACAGCACCAGAAGGAGACTTCAAAGGTGAGTCAGATCATTTCACTCCTGCTCAAAACACTCCAATGGCTTCCCATCTTACTCAGGAAAAAAATGGAAACAGAGCTTTTGCCCTGGCTTAGAGAGCATGCCCCAGCTATCTCAGCTCCTGCCACGGTCCTCCTTGCCTCCCCCCTCACTGGCTCCCATACTGAGAGGAAAAAACCTCACGCATTAATAAAGTTTGTCTATTTTAAAAAATAAATAACTTTTTTTTTTTTTTGCGGTACATGGGCCTCTCATTATTGTGGCCTCTCCCGTTGCGGAGCACAGGCTCCGGACGCACAGGCTCAGCGGCCATGGCTCACGGACCCAGCCGCTCCGCGGCATGTGGGATCTTCCCGGACCGGGGCACGAACCCGCGTCCCCTGCATCGGCAGGCGGACTCTCAACCACTGCACCACCAGGGAAGCCCAAAAATAAATAACATTTATTGATTCATTTTCTGATTACAAAGTAGCATGTGTGACTTTCCTCCAAAGGCACTTGTTGGTCCTTAGTTCTAGAATGTTCTTTCCTTACATATCTACACGGCTCACTCCTTCACTCCTTCAGGTCTGTGCTCAAGTGTCACTTCCTCAGGGAGGCCTTCTCTTTGACCATTCCATCTGAAAAGAGCCCCCTACCCGCCACACTCCACCTGAGCACTCTGCTTTAAATTCTTCCTCCTTGCATTTTCACCTCCTTTTATCACATTTAATTCCTCGTTGATTGTCTGGCTTCCCCACCAGAATGGAAGCTTCACAAGGATGACTTTCTCTGTTCTGTTCAAGGCCACGCCTCCCAAGTCTGAACAGGGCTTTATGCATTATAGGGGCTCAAAAAATTGGAATAAATTTGCCTCATTAGTCACTAAAAAATGAAGTGCACAGCACAATTTTAAGTGACCCATCATCTCGCCAGCCAGCCACCCACGAATCCCACAACCAGATACAATCTTATTTTGCCACCGCCTGGGAAAGAACGAAACACTGGGGGATAAAACTGGTCAGTCTCTGTCTCCAGCCCTTGTGGAAGCCGCGGTCTTTCCTCGGTGGGAAGAGTTAGTAAACAGCAGTCCCTGCCAAGATTCCTCTTCACTGTCTCCTTCATTTCACTTGAGTTAGAAGGGATCTTAGAAACCACATAATCTAACCTGTCATTTTAAAAGAGAGACAATTCTAGCTAGAGAAGTCCAAGTAAATCCAAGACCAAAAGCTAGGTCCTCCAAACCTCATTCAGTGCTCATCTGGGTAGAGAATGAAAACATCAACAGGCGGGCTTCCCTGGTGGCGCAGTGGTTGAGAGTCTGCCTGTCGATGCAGGGGACACGGGTTCGTGCCCCGGTCTGGGAGGATCCCACATGCCGCGGAGCGGCTGGGCCCGTGAGCCATGGCCGCTGAGCCTGAGCGTCTGGAGCCTGTGCTCCGCAATGGGAGAGGCCACAGCAGTGAGAG